GGGGGGGAGTGCCGAGTAGATACCTCAACGCAGCACGCATGCTTCATAAAGCCGAAAAAATACAAACACACAACATGCAAAAATACTGTAGATTAGATGGGTAACGGCCGGGGTAAAAAAAAAAGATCATCCCACGCGCGGGGAGCTTTAGAAAGTTTGCGTATGGCGATGATAAGGGTGAAATTTCGCTAGTTTGCGCCGTTTCGCGCGGCAAGACAAACAGCCCCCCCCCCCCTCCGGTGCACCTGGCCTGTGCCTTATCTCACCTGCCTTGGCATCTCGTCACCCCACCCCCTCCCCCCTTGCATATAACGGCGCGAGCCTTATCATCGGGGCCCTCCGTGAGCAAACGAGGGGATCCGTTGGCCGCGAGAAGCGCTGCCAAATTGGGGCGGCGGCATTCCCGCGCGGGAGAGACGGGGGGGGGGGAGAGAGAAAAGAAGAAAACAGCGAAGCAGTGGTTTGAGGGGAAAGCGGGGGCAGGGTGGTGTGGCAGGTTAAATGAAGGTCAGTCCACGGCCTCATTGACTAAACGTCACGTTCGACTTTGACGTTTTTGCCATTATAAAAGATATTTCCTCATGAAACTATGGAACCCGGTAATATAACCCTATATGAAGTAGGCACAAAAAGCAATCGACCGAGTTCCTGTAGCCACAGAAGGGTTCCGACCCGAACCACAACGTCCCGGGTGGCTCACCTTCTTTGCACAAATTTCAAGTATCTTCATTGCTTTGAAGGAGCAGTGATCGCAAAAGCGCAAAAGCACTAGATCTAATGTAGCTTTCCCAGCTCAAAGGAGCGATTTTTGTCACTCCTCGACTAACATTAGTGCCTCTTTCTCGTTGTAGATACTCTTATTGTGAAGGTAACATTGCCAGAAAGAATGGCAAATGTGGTTCCGGTTTCGTTGAGGACGCTCACCCGAATGAACGGCGACAGCTTCAAACTCGTTAAGATGAGACCGCTCGATTTCAATCAGAAGCACAACGGGTTCTCTTGAACTCGACTTCAGGTTGCTTCGTAACCTCACTTATCCGCTGCACACACAACTGTCGGTGTCGGTACCGACGAAATCACAAACGTTTTCGCGCCAGGGCTACAAATGTTAACAATATTACATGGCTCGCGCATTAATATAACCAACAAAATTGCCCGTCATGTTTTTTTCTGGGTTATTTTTCGATAGCGCAACAATAAGGTTTAGGATCTCGATCGACCGCGAGCCGCGAGCACGTTGAAACTGCTCCTCCCGACTGTACTCTCTGACCAGCGCCGCCGCCTGCAAACCAAACAAACAAAACAGACGACGAAGGACAACGTAACGCGTCGTAAACGTATTTTCCAGTGATTTCTGTGCACAACAAATATTGAACTCACGTTGTTTGTGCGTCGACTTGTGGTTTGTAGACTTACAGTGGTGGTTCATTTGTGAAAATTGCTTGCCTCTGTCATCGTATGTACATCAGAGAAACAAGTAACCTTTGCCGAGCTAAAGTGTTGTAGAGGTTATGTACATTTGGAAGTGACATAATCGTTGTGTGCCTGCCGGTGGCTAGGATGTGCTGGTGACAACCGAACCGACGTTTCTTCTGCTGTTATTCACCTGCAGGTAAGCAAATTAACATCATAAGTAGTGTGTTCGAGTGTTCAAATCACACCGTAGTCACAGCAGATAACATTCCCAAATAATGACACACTCTTCTACAAATTTATTTCAATCATAATTCATCTGTATTTTTTGTCACAGTTTATGTCTGAGATATTTTTTTGCAAAGACACAGTAGTTAATATTTGTTAGGTTTTAAGTCATGTTGTCATTAGATCATAAGGAGTGATGTCACTGCCACGCTGACTTTTTACTAATGTTAAAAGACAACTGTTTGCCAAGGTGGATAGACAACGGTGGCGTCACGACCCCGCTCTGAGCGCTCGTGAGCGTAGCCAGGCGTGGCTCCCGCTGGCGCGCTGCGGGATTGCCTACTGCCCAGGGGGACGGGCCGGCCGCGGCGCGGCGCGCTATGGGCCGCTTGGGCTTTTTCGGCCCTGGCGGCCTTCCCGTTCATTTTCATGGATTTTGTATAAGGACATAAATTAAAGGGCTCGATTAGAGGAGTTGATTCAGCTTTTGCCCGACCCGATCCGACCTCTGGTTAGGGAGAAACGGCGATATACGTATTACGCGCAAATGACACGGCTCCGGTATTTCTCTTCTAGCGTCTTTCCTGTTGATTTTACTTGGGGGCTGAAAGCGAGGCGAATGGAGGGCATTCTTTGGGCTTTCGAATGAGCTTTCGTCCGACTCGATCCGACCTCCCGTTTACGAATGGCGTGAACATGTTTGCCGACAATGGCATCGGCGCTCGGCGCAGGAGGCCGTGTCCTCAGCTGTTGAGCGCTGTTGAGCAAGCAGGTGCTTTCCTCAGCATGAATTACATCGGCGAATACAACATGAAGTTATTTTTAAGCAATCAGAATGTCATCCATCGGTTAAAATTTGTGAACACCAACTTTTGAGTCGTCTTGTCATTTTACCCCGTTCATACTTTACCACCCAATTAGTCCGACCAATCAGGGTGTGGGGAATATCCTGACAGACCATACCAAAACAAAATCGGCAGATTTCCAAGGAAAGCTTGTAAACAGAGGCTTACCGTGTATGACAGCATTTCACCGTTGAAACAATGGGTCGAAAGTGTTTCGTTACATTCTGTAATACCGGCTACGATGCCGACAATGAGTTCAGAGCTGCTCAGAATCTACCTAAACTCTCCCTGTTCTCGGCGCCCCTAGTAAGCATTTGTGAAGATGTGAATTGTGGAGAAAGATTTATAGTCCCTAGTCTACAATCACAAACTGACATTATGCTTAGGCTCAAGCTTTTGTTGTAACTCGTTCACTGTGGTCCAGCAATCTTTCAAAGTTGCTAAAAATATTTTACAATTGATAAATCTCACATCTTTTTGTTGCTCAGTATAAGGATCATGTCAGTTCACTACAAAATTATCTTCTGCTTTTATTTTTACTGGCCTATAATTTCTCAACTGTTTGATGGTATCACAGACTTTGAGAGTATCTGTAATATATTCCCTTTCACATAGGACCAGCTAGAACAGTGGAATAAGGTGATACCTCGAGCAGACAGGCCACTCACAACCAATGACGCGATATGTGAACTTCACTTTTACCCCGAACAAATTAAAAAAACTGAGGTACTGAGCCTTCCAGATGGTAAAGTGATTACCATGCAGAGAGCAAAACCAACGCTTGTACAAAATGCAATCCCTATGATTTTTCCAAATTGTGCCAAATACCTCACTAAAAAATTGCCCAAGCCCAGAAATATCAGAGCTAGGTACACGGGTTCACCAGGAAAAAGATGCCAGCCGAAACAAAAAAAAATACAGGACATAAGAGAAGAAATGCATACTGAAAATTGGCTGCCACCTCTACCAGAAACACCACCACCTGAACCACAATCTCTCCCCTCAACAACATATAGGCAAAACGTCCAAGGTAAAGTCAGTTTTGTAGGACTGAAATCTAAGTAAATGGTCACTCCAAACCTTACCACTTTATTCCCCTTCTTGCAGCCCTGGTGACAATCTGTCCGTTGATGTGAATGAGGAGATTCACAAATTTCCTCAAAGAATCCCCTTGCCCAACAAAATGTGGGCAGTGTTTCAGGACAAGGAAGCAACAACATTTGCCCACATGAGCAAACATCACCAGGTAATAGATAAAAAAAATGTGTTCCATTCAAATAGTGAAGAGCCGCATATCTTCATCAATGACAATAAAATAAAATCATCACCTACTTTGGACAACAACATTCTTTCGCTTGTAAATTTAATCAGTACTGTTGACAAATTTTTAATTTGTCCTGGATCAGGCATCAATAATGGTAGGCATAAGAAATGTCTGTTGTATTGGGAAGATGTTTTCACAAAAAAGGAAAGGTGTGAGCACTGCAACTGGCAAAGAAAGAGTCATTTTAAAAAAATTAGAAGGGAAAGAAAAATTAAACTGAAACGTCAGAGAAGTAGGAAAAGGAAGGACTCAAAAATTAAACGACAATCTATTGTGGTAAGGGTGGTTCATTTGTGAAAATTGCTTGCCTCTGTCATCGTATGTACATCAGAGAAACAAGTAACCTTTGCCGAGCTAAAGTGTTGTAGAGGTTATGTACATTTGGAAGTGACATAATCGTTGTGTGCCTGCCGGTGGCTAGGATGTGCTGGTGACAACCGAACCGACTTTTCTGCTGCTGTCATTCACCTGCAGGTAAGCAAATTAACATCATAAGTAGTGTGTTTGAGTGTTCAAATCACACCGTATGTCACAGGAGATAACATTCCCTAGTCCTCCAAATGTAATCTTCGTATGTTCCTTGTCCTCTGCCCAATATGTACCCTCTTTCTGAAAGGGAAGGGGGGGGGAGGAAAGAAACACGCGCTGCGCACATTCAAGACAGCAAAAAGTCAACTATACGTTAGTTGGGGAAACATGTTATGCGCACATAGCACATCCACGCACCCCGAAGTAGGACGAATAAGGACGAAGGGGGACGAAGAGGGGCGAAGTGGGATGAAGTGGGATGAAGGGGGACGAAGTGGGACGAAGTTGGACGATGTGGGACGAACAGCGACGAAGAGGGAC